GAACTTTGTAATCGACTATTATGATTGGCCATACACCAAGATTAAAAGATTGTTTTTGCTTAAGTTGGAATTTTTAGTCTTCACAACTCTGAAAGGGCTCATTTCCTACTTCTAAAGTAATCACATGCTTCTATTTAATGGATGTGTAGATATATCTTATGCATTTCATTAATCTTTAAGTTGGAGCTTATGTTTCTGCTTACAGGCTCTAAGTTTGGACAGTTAAAAGCAAATTTAAAAGTTTAAGATTTAGAATGAAATTGAAACTAAGTTTCTCTTGGTCCTATAATCTGACAATAGTAAGATTCATTGACCAAATATTTATTGAGTACCTACTACATACAAAGAATTGAGGTAGAATAACGGAAAAGAGGAAAGATTCCAAGAGAAGTGAAAAAAAGCCGAAATGAAGTCATTGTCATAGGTTCCGTATATGAGATCAGAAAAACACAACATTGAAAGTTACTATGAGGTAAACAAAATTCACTTTTAAGCAACAAACTTAGAAATAACATCTTACAGACCCAGTCTATCTAGTATTGCAACATTTCTCAATTGTTGGTCATTATACCATTTTCATAATTTTTAAATATCATTGATATTTTTATTAAATTGAATTTTTAAAAAGTTAGTTTTGTTCTGAACAATATTCCTTAAGTCACAGATGTGATGGGGTAATTACATTGTTTTCTAAGATCGTGACATAGTACATAACTTTTAAATATTTTAAAAGTTTGAGTATCATCAAAAATCTTCTCACTTATAACAATGGTATACCTACCACACTTTGGGTTGTATAATAATAAAGTGTTGTGGCTGGGTGTGGTGGCTCACACCTGTAATCCCAGTCACATGTGGTAACAGAGCACCTGAAATGCGTTTTGTCCAACTTCACATTAATATGAAAATAGTATATTAGTAAGAAATTAGAAAATAGAATATAAAATATACCATTGGCTTTTATATTAAATACTAATTTTTTGATATACTGGATTAAATAAAATTATTTAAAAGAATTTTACCTGTTTCATCTTTTTAAAGTGGCTACTAGAAAATCCAAAATTATGTATTTCTACTGGACAATGTTACTTTAGACAAGAGCCACTGCACAGAGTTTGGCAGGCTGTTACCTGCACAAGAATATTTATAAAAGGACAAGAAGGGCTAACATCAAGGCCATCCTCCACTCACCAAGCCATACATTCTGGAGGGGGCTGTGTCTGCTCAGGTGCAAAAAGCTGTTGCTTCAAAGGTGCCATCTCTTCACCAAAGTGTGAGCCCTGGGAGCTCTATGTGTCCAGAGCATGCCTTTTTCTAATTTGCATAAAGGTATCATATAAGCTAGCGACAGCCCTGAGATGGGTGACCATGCCTTAGTCATATTTTATCTGCCACATACTAGTTAATAAGTAGTCGAACAAATTAATTTTATTTTTGAGACAAGAGTCCTACTTACCCTCTTTATTTTATTTTATTATTTTTGAGATGGAATCTCACTCTGTCACCCAGGCTGGAGTGCAGTGGTACAATCTCAGCTCACTGCAACCTCCACCTCCCCGGTTCATGCAATTCTCCTGCCTCAGCCTCTTGAGTAGCTGGGACTACAGGCACGTGCCACCACACCCAACTAATTTTTGTATTTTTAGTCGAGATGGGGTGTTTCACCATGTTGGCCAGGCTGGTCTTGAACTCCTGACCTCAAGTGATCCGCCCACCTTGGTCTCCCAAAGTGCTGGAATTACAGGCATGAGCCACCGCTTGGTCTACTTACCCTCTTTAGACACATCTCTTCTTATCATTCTATAACATATAACACTTTATCTGGTTAGAGAATATAATTCTTGGCCGGGTGTGATGGCCTACTCCTGTAATCCCAGCACTTTGGGAGGCCGAGGCAGGTGGATCGCTTGAGGTCAAGAGTTCAAGACCAGCTAGCTCAACATGGTGAAACCCTGTCTCTACTAAAATACCAAAAAAAAAAAAAAAAAAATTCGCTGGGCATGATGGTGCCCACCTGTAATCCCAGCTACTCAGGAGGCTGAGGCAGGAGAATCACTTGAATCCAGGAGGCAGAGGTTGCAGTGAGCCAAGATCACGCCACTGTATTCCAGCCTAGGTAACAGAACAAGACCCGGTCTCAAAAAAAAAAAAAAAAAAATAGAGAGGGACTATAGTTCTCACCAGGGCTCACCACTAATCAAAATCATTGTTCAACTTCAAGATTCAAATTTTCATGTCTGTCTTCTAGCACCACATAAAAAATTAATAATCACTGCATATCTTTTATAGCTTTGTATTTCCAGATAAGCATTTGACCATTCCATTATACTATGCAAATACTTATTAATGTGTTTACATTTTTGAAGGATCAGTATAAAAATAAATAATGTAACACCCAAGAATCTCTAATTTTTTCCAACCTACCTGATTGCATTTCTCTTCTTGTCTTAGAACACTTGATCCTGGGAGATTTCACGATTTCAGAGGTGCTCGAATCTAATGTCCTTTGTTTTTCTTTGCGAGAAGAGTCTGTAGTATGTTGAACAATGTTTTTTTTCTCTTTCATGCTTTTTTGTATAAATTCTTTGCTATCCTTCTTCAGACTTATGCTTGAATCTACCTTAGATTTACATGAGGTTTGCATTTTTTTAATTCCTTCAGAATTATCTAAATCAAAATCAGTTTTATTTTCAGAACCCTTCTTATTAGCATTGTTTTTTTCCTTTTTCTCCTCAACTAGATTTTTTGAATCTATTTCTTTTTTAGTCAGGGGTTTTTTCTTCTTTATTTTCTTTGGATTCAATGCTTTGCTATCTTCATCAGAGAGATCGGAATCAGAATCTGAAAGGTCGTAAAAACGTTTCAAATCCTCTGTAGTGCTGTGGTTAATGGGGCGCCCTCTTTTATCCACAGCATAGTTCAACTTGAACTTCTTGTCATGAAACATAGCTCGAAATCTCTTGTCGATTTTGACTTTTCGATCCTTTTCTGGCATTTCCCAAAATCTCGGGTCCTTTGCAACCCGTCTAAACCGCTGGTCACTCATTATTTCTTGTTTGGATGACATTTTTAATTTTTTATCTTGCTGAACAAATGTTTGAAGAAACCAAATACTAAAAAATAAAACAAATGTTTTAATGGTAATAATGGTTAGTACTATAATTAAATGTTTTAAAAACACATTAATTCACAATATATTCTAAGTTAAATGTACATAAAATAAAGGTAACTTTAATTTCATCTCTTCAACTTATTCTGGGTCACATGCAAAAAAGCAGAAACATAACAAAATATCCTCTTTCCCATTACAGATCATTCAGAGAAATGAATTTAAAGGAAACAAAGCAGAATCCCAGGGCTTTACGGAGGGGAACAAATGTTTGTTCGTCCACTGCTCTCACTTAGAATTTCTATCTGTATACCTCCATGTGTCACTAATTGAAAGCAAATATAATTAAGATTCCCTAGTCCAGGCACGGTGGCTCACCAGCACTTTGGGAGGCCAAGGAGGGCGGATCACTTGAGCCCAGGAGTTCAAGACCAGCCTGGGTAACATGGTGAAACCCCATTTCTACAAGAAATACAAAAATGAGCTCGGTTTGGTGGCACCGGCCCGTGGTCCCAACTACTCTGGAGGCTGAGGCCAGAAGATCACTTTCACACAGGAGATCGTGGCTAAAGTGAGCTGTAGTGGCACCACAGCACTCCAGCCTGGGCAACAGAGTGAGACCCTGTCTACCGGAAAAAAAAAAAAAAAAGTTAGATTCCCTAGCTTCATTGGCCTTATTTGTTTCTTCACATTCTGGTCTCATTCTGCTACTCCTTATCTCCTGCTACTGCCAACAGCGTTTAGTTCTTTAAGACTAGCATCCTAACTAAACAGACCAAAATCAACTCAGGTTTAGCTCACAATGTTCTGTCTTTAAATCCAATCATCCTTCAAAAGCAATAGAAAGTTCAGGCCGGCCACAGTGGCTCACGCCCTTAATCCCAGCACTTTGAGAGGCTGAGGCAGGCGGATCACGAGATCAGTAGATCGAGACCATCCTGGCCAACATGATGAAACCCCGTCTCTACTTAAATACAAAAAAATAAGACAACCTGGTGATGCGCGCCTGTAGTCCCAGCTACACGGGAGGCTGAGTCAGGGGAATCGCTTGAACACGGGAGGTAGAGATTGCAGTGAGTCAAGTTCACGCCACTGTATTCCAGCCTGGAGACAGAGCGAGGCTCCGTCTCAAAAACAAACAAACAAACAAAAAAGTTTAAAAATGAATAAAAAGTAAATTTGACTCTCCAGGTAAAGTCTCACTCCAGTTAATAAATATCATTTCTTTCTATAATCTCTTACTCTACAAGTGATGAAGTCCCAAATGAGCTGATCCCTCCAAAACATATTAGAACATACACATATGTGTGTATAAATTAATACTGTTCCCTTGTGAATAGTCCCTAATGTTTTAGCATGTCTGGATGGGAGTTTTGCAAAGAACCAAAATTCACTGATTAATGGCACACACACATACATACACACACACACACAAAGGATTGATTAAAAGGGCAGGTATCCCTTATTTTAAAAACAAGGCCTTTTATACACTAACCAGGAAAAACTGTATTCCACCCTCCCCTTCTGCACGCTTTCTAATGCAGAGAATACAAGGCTGGCCCCTGAACGAGGGTCTCCTACCCACAGCTAACCGACTGACTCGAGAAGCGACCCTGAAGAAGATCGATGAAATCTGAAGAAGGAGGTCGAAAAGGCTCAGGAGGAAGGGGCAAAACCCCTCGCAGATGCGAAAGAGATCCTGTCAGAGACCAGTTCTTCTCCGGGGCCACACACACCCCTCCACGAGCCCTTCAGTTCGAGCTCTTCAACTCGAGCACAACGCCACTCACCGTCCGGAGTCCTTTCCAAGCCTAACGTGGGACTCGCACCCACAATGCTCCGCGTGACGCTCTGCCGTAACGGCAAGCGAACTAGGCCAAACTACTTGCACGTTTCCTCTGCGAAGGTCTTTGCAGCAGTCTGCTGAAGCCGCTCTGGCGCATGCGCACGAAAAAAGTGCTGGTAATTGGTATAGCTGCTGGAGATGCTGCGGCCGGCGGGTCTCTGGCACTTTTGTCGGCGACCTCGGGCGGCGAGGGTCCCAGCGGCGAACCTGGGCTGTAGGGAGGTCACCTCTGGTGTCTCTCCCCGGGGCGGCACATCGTCCAGAGCCCTGAATATCTTCGATCGGGATTTGAAAAGGAAACAGAAGAACTGGGCGGCCCAGCAGCCCGAGCCGAGGAAGTTTGACTACCTGAAGGAGGAGGTGAGCCCGCTGGGCGGCAGGGTTCGGGGGCAATTCGGAGCCTCGTCTTCCTCTCCGCGAGCTCTGGCTGGGCCCTGACCTCAGCGTCTGACCTTGACCGGCAGCCCTGCCTCTCTTGGCCTCTACCGTAATCACGCAAGGCCTAGGCTCGGTTATTTGTAACATGCTTTTCATTCATAATTGCGTTCATTTCAGCAAAGTCCCTGAGGCCGAAAGGACCTTATAGAGGCCTCCAGAGAAGCTCCACAGAGGGAGAGAGTGGGAGAGGAGGTCAGGAGAGCCCAAATCATCAGGGCCTTGCAGGATAGGGACTTGGGGTTTTCTTCTGTATTTGCGCTGTCCAGCCAGCGTGGTAACTGCCGGCCACACATGTGGCTGTTGAACACCTGAAAGGTGACTAGTCCGATTGAGATGTGTTTTAAGTGTAAAATACACAGGAGTATAGTGACTTAGTATGAAAAAAAGGATGTAAAATAGCTCATTAAGAGCTTTTATACTGATTACATGTTGCAATGATATTTTTGATACATTGGGTTAAATATAAATTTAAAATTAAATTTCTCTCATTTTTACTTTTTTCTTTATGTGACTACTAGAAAATTTGAAATTACGTGTGTGGCTCTCATGATTTTTTGTCAGCACTGCTCTAGAGAAATGTGAAGCTCTTGTTTTAATCGGTGGAGTGATCTGATTTATGTTTTAGGAATATCAAATTAAGGTCTCTGATTGGTCTTTGCTTGTTTGAGAAACCTCTTTCTCCCTGCCCAGGTGGGCCCGGTACTGAGAGTTTCTACTTTCAGGACATACGTTCCCAAGTTCAGGCCTCAGTAAATGTTTATTCAGAAGTAGAACAAAATTGGAGTCAAGTATAATGCAACAAACAATGAACTCCTAGATTGAGCAGAGCTCTGTGCAAGTACAGGTCTGATCAGATGATTGACAGTTTGTTCTCAGGAAGTCTTATAGAAAGAGAGACTGGTAATGTCTATTATAGATATAGGAAGTTTACCACCAATAAAATTTTTGCATCCCATTTGAAAGGCATGGTGCACTTACTACACTGCTGTTGTTATGTACTTAGAAGATGTATGCTCGTAGCCGTTTCTCCTCCAAGAAAAGCACCTGGATTACAACTTAATTGAGGCCTCGCCAATTTGTGAGACTAGAACAAATAAAGTATATGATAGTTCTTTTTATAATAAACATAGGGCGTTCATATTAGGAATGATGTACAAAGTGGACTCCTGGGAAAAAAACATCTACAGGTACTCTCCTTCCTCCCTTGCCCTTCTTCCAAAAAGCAAGTACACCTGTGTTTGGGAGTCCTAATAGCAACTCTGGGGGTGTTTATGAGGGAATGAGTGGAATGTGGAGAATGCTAGACTCCCACATCTTTATTGCTGCCAGATGAAGCCAGCCCAGCAAAAGGTGGTGCTTATGATTCTTAAATTGGAATGGGATTGGGGCCTGGGAGCTGCCCTTACCTCAGATTTGGCTTTTCTAACTTGTGAATATCACTCAGAAACCTTGTTCATTTAGGAGTTCCACAAAATTTGTTAGTCATCAAATAGTAGCGTTTTTCTTGACCATTTATGTATTGATCTGCAATAAACCCCAAGTAACTCATTTTTCACTTTATATACCTCATGCTAATATCTGTGGACAATAATGTGCCTTTTGTGTTCTTTGCTTTTTGTTTTTGTGATCTTCTGTCACATGGAATGTAAAGGCCACATATATATGTATGTGTATATGGGAATATTTTTAAGAATATTTACTCTTGATTTCATTAAATTGACTTCTGAAGTAATTTGCCTCAATTTTGTTTCCTGGTGATTTGAGAAGAAAGTTCCTGTGATGAAATTGAAAAGGGGATAAAGGGAAGTACTTATTTTAAAACATAAGTAACCTGTGGATTGTTGACTACTGGAAAAAGAGTATTACTTTCCTGTTAACCTATGCTTCTTGTAATCCTTCAGGTTGGAAGTCGAATTGCGGACCGTGTATATGACATACCCAGGTAAGTGGTGGTGATCATAATACCATACCATCAGCTTTTGAGTGGAAATTCAAGAGGTTAAATGCCGGGAACTTGATACCTAAAATGGCAGAATCTGGAAGAATTTACTCTGACTGGTGATTTAAATCACTCTGTAAGTCTCCTTTTTCATGTCTGGAGAGCAAATGTTTTCTTCATTGTTGCTGAAAAAAGAAAAGAATGTATGGAAGCACAACTCATATCTCTTTCCAAGCCTGAATCCACTTGATTTGGCCAAAAGCCAGTAATAGAAAGATTGCTCTAAAAATTGAGATACTTAACAACATGCGAATTTTTAAGATTTACTTTCTAGTTCCGAAGCCTCTGTACCTGACTGTGCCATATCGCCTGTGTTCCTCGCAAGCATTAGGCATTAGGTAAATAAAGTTATCTACCACTAGGGATTCTCCAGCTGTGTACTAGTGTTCTATAATTTTGACAAAGCTTTTTAAAAAGAAATTGCAAAGGGGCTCTTTCTGTTCCAGTTTTTCAGGAAGAATATTATTAGTAGATAAAATTTTAAGTTTTCTTGTTACATGTTTTTTTTGAACCTATGGCCTACAATTAGATGTCTGTACCAGTGTAGAAGTATAAAGTATATTTAGAGGAGACAGCATGGCATGGAGGATGACAGTTCCAGTTCAGGATTCAAACTGACTGAATTCAAGTGCTGACTGCTCCTTATTAGTTGAGGTACTTGGTTTGACTTACTTAGCTTCAGATACTTAGCACAGTACTTTGAACCTGGTACGTTTTCAGTAAAAGTTTAACTATTATTTAAGTTCCTTTTTTAGTTTAACATTAATACCTAATGGTATTTCCCATGATGATTTCTAAGTGTTCCTCTGCTTCAACAAGTCTGAGAAATAGGGATAATTATTGATAAGTATGTCAATTATTTTCAAGTTAATTTACATTATTAGCTTCTTTGCATTCTCTATCTGGATGTATTATTGAGTTAAAATATCCTCATTAAATCTCTTCCTCAAGTTCACATCATGGAGCCAGCTAGTGGAAAGCTGGCTCATCATGAGGTCCTGTGAATAGCTAGATTAGACAGACTTGCATTGTGCTGTAGGCTCTGGTATATATAACTTGTAAGGTGAGGCCAAAAAGGCAGATGATGTAACCTTCTGGAAGTTGTGTTCACTGAAATGATTTTACTGAAGAAAAAATAATTCTTAATTTATAGACTATATTATGGATGGAGCATAACTCCTGTGTTCTATTTTTTTTTTTTTTTTTTTTTTTTTTTTTAGAGATTTCCCCCTTGCTTTGGATCTTGGTTGTGGAAGAGGTTACATTGCACAATATTTGAATAAGGTATATTTATTCAATGACTTAATTTGTTTTGAAAAGTAAAATTGGCTAATTTTAAAGAAAGACTTTCCTAATCAGTTTAGCTTGCAGCATATTTAGATTTTAATTATATCAGAATTGTTCATTTGTTTGTTATTAAGTGATAGAACCAATGGTGGTTTTCTCCCCTCTTTAGAATTTTTTTTAAGTGTTTTTTCTTTGTATCCATTTTATGTTGTGTTTCTACTGATAATTTATTTGAATCTACATAAGATGTATTTCTCTTTGTTCCCACTTTGTTTGCATTTTTGATAATTACAATAAAAATCAGATTTCATATAGAGAATATGATTAAGCCAACCTTTAGCTAGAAAAATATTTTATTAGTTGACTAGAAATCTTTCTGTATAATTCAGTATAAGTAGCTTTGTTAATGCTTATAACATTTTATTTTATTTTGCACTTTATAATTCAGACCATAAAGACATTAACTTATTCTTTTAGCTCTTAGGTATACGATATTGTGCCGGACACAAAGATTAAACTGTTTTTTCTTTCTTTCTTTCTTTCTTTTTTTTTTTAATACGAAGTCTCACTCTATGCTCAGGCTGGAGTACAGTGGCATAATCTCGGCTCACTGCAGCCTCTGCCTCCTGTGTTCAAATGATTCTCCTGCTTCAGTCTCCCAAGTAGCTGGGGTACTATACTTCAGTCTCCCAAGTACAGGGGTGCACCACCACGCCCTGCTAAGTTTTGTATTTTTGGTAGTGATGTGGTTTCATCATGTTGGCAAGGCTGATCTTGAACTCCTGACCTCAAGTGATTCGCCTGCCTTGGCCTCCCAAAGTGCTAGGGTGACAGGCATGAGCCACCACTCCCAGCCATAAAGTGAAATTTCTACATAAAATCTGCTTAAATAAAAACATACACTTGGGACCGGGTGGGGAAGGGTGTGGTGAGGCTTTTAACACTGTTATTGGTAATAGTAAATGCCGTGGAAAAGGTGCACTTATTAAAATACAACAGGAATTAAGGAAAAAGAAAAATCAGTAGGGATTCACGTGGTCAAGGCTTCTTAGAGGGCACAGAATCTGACCTGGGATTTGAAAGAATTTGAGTTGGTGCTTCCTGGCTTTGGAAGTCAGAACATGGCAGGAGGAAGGGCACAGAGGTAGAATGCTGTAGGGTGTGATCTTGTGATGTTTAAGAAAGATTGATTTGGGGATGGCATTCAAGAAAGATTGAAGATGCAAAAGGGTAAAGAAACAAACCCATTAGAAGGCTGTGTTATAGACATTACAGGAGTGAGAAATAAAGGCCTGCCACCCATTAAGAGCCAGCACATATAAATGATGGGATGTTTGAGAGAGACCTAGAAGCATCAGCAGAACTTGATGACTGATCAGATATGGTAGGCGAGCAAATCTGTTCTTTTAGTTACTCAGGCCAAAAACATTTTTATTGATTTCTCTTATCTCTTTCTCTTTCACATCAAATCCATCAGCAGCTTTTATTTCATTTCAAAATATAACCAAACTTTACCTCTTCTTGCCACCTTCCCCATCACCATGTTGTTTAGCTACCATCACCTCTTGCCTAGATTATTGTAGTAACCTTCTATTGGTCTCCCTGTGTCTACCTTTGTCCCTGACAGTCTGTTCTCCTGGCAAAGTAATCCTCTTAAAACACGAATCAAATCATTGTTAGTCCCCTGCCCAGAACTGTTAGTTTCTCATCTAACTTAGTAGTCATCCAGAGTCCTAATCCATAAGACCCTCAGGATTCTGTTTTTTTTTAAAAATCATGTCTCTGGTCCTGTCTTCTTCCTTTCACTTCCAACTTTTCAGCAATCCTGGCCTCCTTGCAGTTTCTTAAACAGGCCAGGGCTTTGCAGTGCTCTTGTTCTCTATGCTCTTCCCTGTCAGATTTTTACTCAGCTGGCCACATCAAAGATTCCTCCTGTGAGTGCTTTAGAAAATAGTGGCCCTGCTCTCTGCTGACTAGTTGCTTTATTTGTTTCCATAGTACTTGCAAGCTTCTGATGTATATTTAGTGTATTTCTTCTTATCGGATTTACTCATTTTTGATCACCACTAAATCCTAGTACCTAAATCACAATGAAGATTTATTAAATGACTATTGCAAGATAACTTTAGAGTTAAAGTTATACCTTTTGTGACTGGAAAAAGTCAGGGGATATGATATGGCAAGGTGCACGGGATCATTCCTATTTTAGACATTTGAGTTTGAGGTGACAGTGGATTATGTTAGTATTGATAGCTGGCAGGTAGTTGGAAATGTGGAACTGGAATTGGGATATTGAGGTTAAGAGCATTAACTTGAAGTCAGATAGGGCTTCAGACTTCAGCTCTGCCACTGTCTTGTGCCCTTGAACTTTGGACCAATCAATTGCTCTAGACCTCAGTTTCTATAAAACATGGTCAAGAAAACCCATCACAAAAGCTTGGTAAGAAGTGAGACAAGTTGTATCTGTCAAAGGGAGACTATGGTTTTTATTTGGAAGTCCTTTTCAGAAGTGACAACTGAAGCCATAGAAATAGGTAAGATCAGCTGGGCGTGGTGGCTCACGCCTGTAATCCTACCACTTTGAGAGGCTGAGGCGGGTGGATCACCTGAGGTCAGGTGTTCAAGACCAGCCTGACCAACATGGTGAAACCCTGTCTCTACTAAAAAATGAAAAAAAGAAAAGAAATAGGTAAGATCTCTGCAGCAAGAATATAGCAAAGAACCTTCTGCAATTGTACTTAGGGTTAGTAGAAATAGGAGGAGCCAACAAAGATGCCGGGAATAGTAAGATGGAAAGTGTCTTAGTAAGGTAACTTGATTGTTGAAAGTGAAAATGCACTGATGCCAGTTTAAACACAGAGACATTTGTTACAGAGAGACTCCTATGTAACTCAGGGATCCAGAAGTAGAGTCAGGCCTCACAAGAGATGGGAACTTTGAAATACTGGAACAACATTCCTCTTGTTCACATGTACTCTGGTATTACATGAATGCTGCCTGGTTGCTTTCATTCTTTACACTCCCTGTAGTCTATCCCTAGTAGTGTTCATCATTGTGTGTGGTTCTGTATGAATACCCTATACCCAGTGGTGAGCTGAAGCTAGCTTAGGCCAGCCTATGAGAGCCATTCGTTAGCATCTCTTCCCAACCTCTGTTCTGTGACATTGTACTGATACCTTGACATAAGCCCTAGTGGGAATATTTATACCATGGAAGTTGGCAAATGCTACAAAGCAGTCCCCCACCAAGAGTCAGCATACCACTGCCTTCATCCTGAAGTCTAAATGCTCTTCCAACTCCAGGGACCTCTGCTATTATCTTGAAGTCTCTTAGTTTAAATTTTCAAGTGAGAGATGGTGATAGATAGTCCTATTGATCTAATTCTTCACCCTTCGCAGGAGTGTGCTAGAGCTGGCTCATGAGAGCCATTGAGCACATCTCTTCCCAGCTCCGTACTTAGCAACATCGTGTTGGTAGCATGCAATCCACTGTTGTTTGAGTGCATCATGGAAATTGGCAAACAGGGCACTTCCTTTTCTTTCTTTTTTCTTTTTCTTTTCTTTTCTTTCTTTTTTTTTTTTTTTTTTTTTTTTTTTTTTTTGAGAACCCATATTTAACTATTGACTTGCATACCAGTTGCCCTCAGATAATCTGCGGTGACTACGTAATGGTAGGGTTTTTGTGGTAGGGGAAATCCCTTTTCAAGCTGGGGGCAGGAAAGTGGGTGTGGATAAAGTAAAAAAGGATTGGCTTCTCTAATAGAGGAGGGCAGCCAGAATAGAAGCTTCTAAAGAAGCTTCTAGGAGGCTGTTGACAATGCTGTGCTTCAAAGAGGTCAGGTGAAGCCAGACAGAGTAGTGAGCAGAGACTGCAGATAGTGTTAGGAGTGCAGTGAAAGCAAAGAGATACTCAGAATGGGGAGAAAGAATTTAGGAAGAAGTAGAGTTGTGGATTATAAACCAAACAATCAGAAGGTGCCTAGAAGGAGGAGATTTTTGATAATTGGAAAGCTTATGCCTGTTACAAGGTGAAGGAAGGAGGCAAGACAGAGATTAAAGATTGATAGACGGAGATAGGGGAGCAGGATCCTGGAGAAAAGAGCGCTGAAGGGAAAGTGTTTTTCTAGTACAGAAATGGCACAGTCTCCTTTCTTTTTGGAAGGAAGAGAGGGTAAGTGAAACGGCAAATGCAACCACTTAAGCCCCACCCTAAGCCTTTGTGTCTAGAAGTCTTTCATTACTTTGTAAACTCCATGAATGAACAACTAAAAGGCAGGAAACGCATTGAGGGTCCTTTGTGGCACAAGATGGGGAAACTGGCTCTTAGCATGTTATGCCATGTAAAAGTTAATACAGAAGCCCTCCCCCAGTTTAGTAAACTCAGGATGTTGAATCTGCATATTCATGTTCTCTGTTGTGTTACATATAATTAAATATAGCAAAAGATACGTGTCACTAAAAGTATTTGTGTACCGTAATGGTTTTATGTGAAAAATACTCTTACAAAGCTGAAAATTATAATACTTATAATTAATTATAAATATAAAATTATAAAATATAAATACTTATAATTAATATTTACAAGTGTAATTAATTATAATTAATACTTTTACCTTTAGAAATGTCAGCAATTGTTTGTGACTGGATTTATTTGTTTCAGCTTTAGTTATTCCATTGCAGGAAACTATTGGAAAGTTTTTCCAAGCCGACATTGCAGAAAATGCCTTGGTAGGTAGCTTTTTAACACTTTTGGTTTCTAATCTCATGATTTGTTTCTTCGTACTTTATTTCTTCATTTTTATTTTCTTCAAACTAGCTTTCTTTTCTGACACATGAAAAGGAACTAATACAGGAAATATCAAGGACAAAGGTAAAATCACCCCTAGTCCCACCATTCAGAGGCAACCATTGGTGACAGTTGATCTCTATATATTTGCAGACATAACTGTCCCCACCCCCACACACAATTGTTTATGACCATTACTATGCTAATATTCCATGTTATTTACAGCAGGTCATTTTTTTGTCAGTGAATTTGTACATATATGTGTTATATATCATCTTTTTAAATGGCTACGTGGTATTCTAATATATGAATACTTCATAGTTTATTTAGCTAAACTTTCTATTGAAAGGCAGTTACATTTCTAATTTCTTAATAACCAACACTGCAGCGAACATCCTTATGTGAAGCAACTTTGTATGTTTGATTTAGTTTTTCCTTGGGTATAAAGTCCTGGAAGCAGAATTTATGGATTCATTTTGATGTTCATTTAAAAATTTTTGACATACATCTTTCAAACTGCCCTTGGACGATGAAAAAGGTGCTTTGTACTCCTTTACTTTGGCAACACTGGGCCAGTCTTTTTGTCTTTGTCAATCTGACAGCTACCAATGTCTTTCGACTATTGGTATTTCTTGTGAATTTTGTAAATAATTTTGTGACATGGCTGCACCTTGTCCTTCATCTACTTTAGCTGTCATGTGTTCTTATTCTAGGTGATTTGTAAGAGCTTGTTTTTTAGGGATATTAATCCTTCATTATATATGTTATAAATATTTTCCTCAGTTGTTTACATTGTTTATTGTTTTGCATTAATAGAAATTTTTGGCTGGGCATGGTGGCTCATGCCTGTAATCCAAGCACTTTGGAGGCCAAGGCGGGAGGATCACCTGTAGTCAGGAGTTCAAGACCAGCCTGACCAACATAGTGAAACCCTGTCTTAAAAAAAAAAAAAAAAGAAAAGAAATTTTTAATTAGTTTATCATCAAATATATCCGTCTTTTCCTTTACAGTTTCTGGCTGTTACGTTTACCTAGGCTTTTTCATCGAAGGGTAAAATAATGTCCTGTCCACCTATATTTTCATCTAGTACTTCAGTTATTTAACTAAAACTTTCAGCCTTCTTTTTTTTTTTTTTTTTTTTTTTTTTGAGACAGAGTCTTGCTGTCACCCAGGCTAGAGCATGGTGGCACAATCTTGGTTCACCTCTGCCTCCCAGGTTCAAGTGATTCTCCTGTCTCAGCCTCCCGAGTAGCTGAGATTACAGGTGCATGCCACCATATCCAGCTAATTTTTGTATTTTTATTTGAGATGGAGTTTCACTATGTTGGTGAGGCTGGTCTTGAACTCCTGATCTTCAGTGATCTGCCCGTCTTGGCCTCCCAAAGTGCTGGGATTATAGGAGTGAGCCACCATGACCAGCCAAACTTTCGGCCTTCTGAGATTTGTTTGGTGTGAGATGGGTATCCTGTTTATGTTGTTTCAACTAGTTAGCCATTTTTTTCTGGCTGATGTTAAGTCATTTAAGAAGTGCCTGTTGGGTGCCTTCTCTGTGCCACCTTTGGGAAGGCGAGTAGAAACTGCCAAGTAAATAGAACATTGACTTCAATTTAACAGTGATTGTGTTATTATTAATTGAGAGTCTACATAAATGTGGTTTTGATCTTTTGTTTTCTTACTGTTAGAAAAATTCCTTAGAAACAGAAATTCCTACTGTCAGCGTTTTAGTTGATGAAGAATTCCTTCCCTTCAGAGAAAATACATTTGACCTGGTGGTTAGCAGTTTAAGGTTGGTAATCCACTTTTTAAAAACTGTATGTTATAAATAGATCATTTATGTCATAAAGGTTTTGAACCTGAGTTTTTACGTTAGCTCATCTGCTTGCTATTTGCAGGTGACTAATTATGTTACTTTCAGTTTTCCCATATGTATGACAGAACTATAATATGACCTCCTTAGTTTTTAAAGTATCTAATACTTGTTGAAAGCCTTAAGAACAATAAATATGGGCTTAACACAGTATGGTTTGAAATGGACATTCAATTCTGTCCTGGAACTCAGCATAAGGAGATGCAGTTCTACCAGGAAAGTGTGACCATACTCTGCAGAGACTGAGAATGTGACTTTTACTGTCACATATGACTACACTCTAAGTGAGAGTAGAGTCAAAAGAAAATTCAAGGGCTGGACGCAGTGGCTTATGTTTGTAATCCCGGTACTTTGGGAGGCCGAGGTGGGTGGATCGCTTGAGGCCAGGAGTTTGAGATCAACCTGGGCAACATGGTGAAACACTATCTCTACTAAAACTACAAAAATTAGCCAGGTGTCATGGCATGTACCTGTAATTCCAGCTGCTCCAGAGGCTGAGGCATGAGAATTGCTTGAACCTAGGAGGCGGAGATTGCAAGGAGCCGAGATTATGCCACTGCACTCCAGCCTGGACAACAGAGCAAGACTCCATCTCGAAAAAAAAGAAAGAAAGAAAATTCAAGTGATTTATTATATTTCAGTATATATAGCTCTGGTTTTTGTTTATTTTCACTATCTTAAAAAAAAAATAGATGTACCACATACCTACTAGAATGGCCAAAATCCAGGACACTGACAACACTAATAAATGGTGGCAAGGATGTGGAGTTTATTATTGGTGGGAGTTCAAAATAGTACAGGCACTTTGCAAGATAGTTCAGTGGTTTCCTACAAAACTAAACATACTCTTACCATACAATCCAGCAATTGCATGCTTCTTGGTGTTTACCTGAAAGAGATGAAAACTTATGTTTATGCGAAAACCTGCACACAAATGTTTATAGCAGCTGTATTCATAATTGCCAAAACTTGGAAGCAACCAAGATATCCTTCATTAGGTGAAAGGATAAACTTTGTTACATCCAAACAACAGAATATTATTCAGCACTAAAAAGAAATTGTCAAGCCATTAAAAGATATGGAGAAAACTTAAATGCATATTACTGAATAACAGAAGCTAATCTGAAAAGGCTATACAGTGTGTAATTCCAACTGTGACATTCTGAAAAAGCAAACTCTTAGAGACAGTAAAAAGATTGGTGATTGCCAGGGGTGGTATGTGGGAAGGATAAATAGGTGGAGCACAGAGGATATTTAGGGCAGTAGAGCTCCTCTATGATACTGCTATAATATTGGATATATGACATTATACATTTGTCCAAACCCTTAGAATATACCCCACCAAGAGTGAACCTTAATGTAAATTACGGACTTGGGGGAAAATGACATGTCAGTATGGTTCATCAGTTGTAACAAATGTACACTCCAGAGATATTGATAATAGGGGAGGCCATGCATGTGTGGGAATAGGAGTATGTAAAAAAATCTCTGTGCCTTCCTCTTAATTTTGCTGTAATCCTAAAACCGCTCTAAAATATAATTAAAAATAAAGTCTTAAAAATTAGCTTTTTAAAAAATGGGATGTTAATTGGAAAACTCACAGAATCAAGCTTTTGATGAGTTATGCTATTTGCCTTGAGAAAATTTAGGTCTGCAGATAATTCTTTTTTCTAAGAAAATCTGGCTTAGAATACTACTATATTTCTGTAGCTTAATTGATTTAACTGATATGCTTTGAGTATTTTTACTACTTTTTACAAATAAAGTCTCAGAATAGTACTGTTTAGGTAAAATGCCTAAGTACAAATGACTTTTACATAATTCAGTGATGAAGAATTAGAAAATAATTATACTAGATTCTTTTACTTAAGCAAAGTGATATATTGAAATGGGGAATTTTCTGGTGTGACACAAGGAAGGTTTTCCGCTAGGAATATTTATTTACTTACTTACTTACTTTATTTATTTATTTATTTTGAGATGGAGTCTCACTCCTGTCGTGTAGGCTGGAGTACAGTGGTGTGATCTCAGCTTACTGCAACCTCCAGCTCCCGGGTTCAAGTGATTCTCCTTTCTCAGCCTCCTAAGTAGCTGGAATTACAGGCATGCACCATTATACCTGGCTAATTTTTGTATTTTTAGTAGAGATGGAGTTTCAACATGTTGGCCAGGCTGGTCTTGAACTCCTGACCTCAAGTGATCCACCCGACCTGGCTTCCCAAAGTACTAGGGTTACAGGAGTGAGCCACCACGTCCAGCTAATTTTTGTATTTTTAGTAGAGATGGGGTTTTGCTATATTGGCCTGGCTGGTCTCGAACTGCTGACCTCAGGTGATCCATCCGCCTTGGATTCCCAAAGTGTTAGGATTAAAGGCGTGAGCCACCGCATCTGGCCCTCTAGGAATATTTATAATTTTGAAATGTGTATGAATATAGTTAGTGGATTTTGATAGGCAATTTCAAAATTCACAGTTTAACACCTTTTTATGGGTTATCATACTGGTGATAATTTTACTAATTAATTGTGCCAATTAAGCTGAAACAAATCTGTATTCTGTTATTTTAGTTTGCACTGGGTGAATGACCTTCCTAGAGCACTTCAGCAGGTAAGAAAACTTCCGTTCATTCAACTATCCTGTTAGAAACCTACAGATGTTTCAGATTTCACAAACTATTTACTTGTAGGTCTGACAGTTGGAGAATGGAATCAGTGGAATCACCTGGTGCCACTTGGCATATTAGTAGTACATTGGGCAACTCTCCTTTCCCTGAGAATTTAAGAATAATGTTGATATCAGAAGACATTTTCTGTGTAGATTTCTTCTAGCCCTTAATTGCCTATAAACTTTTTGTGAGTAGGAACCTACTTATTTATATTTGTATTTTCCCCATGTCTTATACTCAGAGAATGCTAGGTAAATTTTTATTGTGACACTTATCAATAAATAGGTGAGAGGTAGGTAAAAAGTATGTGTCAAAGGAGAGAACAAGATTAATGTGGCTTGAGGTGGCCTAGAAAAGCTTCAAGAGGAAAGTACTTGGACAAGACCTTAGGGGTAGATAGGACTTGGATTGGGAAGGCATTCTAAGAAGGCAGAATCACAGAATAGGTGGAGAGGTACAAGAGCCTCATCAGCATGAAGGAACAAAGAGGAAACCTGTTTGGGGGACTAGTATAGTGCTGGGAAATGAGGTGTGATATATTGGGACAGGATTTAGGAGGTACTTGAGTGTCAGGTTAAGGAATTTGGGGTTGATGCAATTCAGAGCCACTGGAGAACTTTGAAGAGGAAAATGACATAATTACACAGCTGGTGGGCAAAATAATAATGGCCATATCTGAACACATAATGATTTTCTAGTTTCCAGTTATTGTGCTCTGTTTTACATTTGTGTTAAATAGCTCTGGGAGATATATTTATTTTGCCGATTAGAAACTGATGCCTGGGCCGGGTGCAGTGGCTCATGCATGTAATCCCATCAGTTTGGGAGCCCAGGGTGAGTGGATCACTTGAGGTCAGGAGTTTAAGACCAGCCTGGCCAACACAGTGAAACCCTGCCTCTACTAAAAATACAAAAAATTAGCCAGGTGTGGTGGCAGGTGCTTGTAATCCCAGCTGCTAGGGAGGCTGAGGCAGGAGAATCTCTTGAACCCAGGAGGTGGAGGTTGCAGTGATCTGAGATGGCATCATTGCACTCCAGCCTGGGTAACAGAGTGAGACTCCTTCTCAAAAAAAAAGAAAAGAAACTAATTCCTGGAGAAGTTGTTTAAATTAAAGGGAGATTGTTAGATTGTTTCAGTGGTCCAAGCATGAGATAAACTAAACCTAGGTGGTAATGGTAGGAGTTAAAAGGAAGAGTAATTAGGACTCCACAAAGAAAAAATCAACCGTTTGGTGGCTGGTTAGATCTAAAGATCAAAGGGAGGAGCCAAAGCTCACTTTAAAGTTTTGAGTCTAGATTAGTAAAAGTAGGGGAAAGAATGTTAATGATCAGATAAAGGGAATAGAAAATGGTAATAGAAATATGACATTTGGAGAGGAGAACTGATTTGATAAATACGTGTTTTCCTTGTGGGGCTGGAGGGAGCAGGAGTGGTAAGTATGCTGAGAGACAAATGTCCAGGGAATAGGGAGTTGAAGATGATTTTAGACTTCTGGGAAGATGGCCAAGCTGAACCTAGAGATTGGAAAGTGGTCATTGTGAAATGATGGGAGTTGGTAAGCCATCTGAGGAAGATGAGGGCTGCAGACTGCTCAGGACTAAGTCTTAGGTACTTGGTTTAGTAGAGTCCGATAACATGAAGAGGAAGTAACACAAAAGGTAAAGAAGGGAAGGAACCAAAGGTTTTACAAATTATTTACGTAATACTGCTTTTAATTGCTTCATGATATATCAAATATAAATTTAAGACAGTGCTTTTATTAGAAGAGCCTACTGTGATTTGGATTCTGTTTTACTTCAGAATCTACCTTTTCCTATAATGGTCCCCATAGCTAAGAATAGTCAGAATTTAGTTACAGCTTGTAGTCTAAGAGAGTAAGCAAAACTTGTGATTCTGGAATTCACTCCGGCCATTATTTTTCTTAACTTACCAGTTAAAACTTGGTTTTGTTTTAAAGCTGGAAAATAAATTACTTCTTTAGAAAGAAAACGAATGTGTTACTAGGTTAATGCTGTGAATCATAATGATTTCTCTGTAGCTTTTTCTACATAATAAGGCACCCTAACTTGATGGCTTATAACAACTATGTAGCTTACGATTTTGTGGGTTGGCAGTTGGGGCTGGATTTGGTTACGAAATCTGGGTCTGACTTGGCTCATCCATGTGTCTGTGGTCAGCTGCCAGATTGTCTGGGAGCTGGCTGGTTTGGAGGGCCTCGGCGTGCACAGCTGGCTAATCTCTGCTCCACATCTCTCCTCCTCCACTAGGCTAGCCCAGGCTTGTTCTCACATCACAGCTGGGCTGGGCTCCAAGAGAGCAGGTGGAAGCATGCAACACATTTGAGACCTAAACTTGGAACTGGCACACTGTCACTTCCACTGCATTCTTTTGGCCCAAGCAAGTCACAAGGCCAGCCAAGATTCAAGGAGAGGGGTAATAGACTCCCTATCTTGATGAAACTTGTTAGAAAAACATTTCAGAGGCCATAGATACAGGCTGGTTTGTGATTTTTGCAGCCTATCCCAATTAAAATTTTTTTCTTTCAGTATTTTTCTGATTATAAAACTAAGTTGTACCGATTAGAAAACCTGAAAACATACAACATTTTTGTAGGCATTAATATTATTAGTGAATGTATAGTTGTCTTTCCAACTATATTATGTATGCATCATGATTTTCTGACAGCTAGTTGCATTGGATATTATTTATTAAATTATCTGATTATTATTTTGGCAGAATAAGAATGGTAGTCATAAAATGTTGATTAGACACTATATATTTATTTTTAACAGTTATATTTGTACCATTTTGAATCACGTTGTTGTATTTATTACAGATTCATTATGTTTTAAAACCAGATGGAGTATTTATTGGTGCCATGTTTGGAGGCGACACACTCTATGAACTTCGGTGTTCCTTACAGTTAGCAGAAACGGAAAGGGAAGGAGGATTTTCTCCACACATTTCTCCTTTCACTGCTGTCAATGACCTGGGACATCTGCTTGGGAGAGCTGGCTTTAATACTCTGACTGTGGTAACTATCAAGTTAATCAAGTTGCCCGTTACTTACATAGTTCAGAAATAACTTCTTTCCATTTTAGATAGAAAACTATATGTGTTCATGGTTTTATGGCACTGTTTCTCTCCTTTTCTTTTTTTAAGGGAAAAGCTCTGATTGACAATGTTTAGTTGGTATAACACATCTTAATTGATATAAGGTAGGAATGTATAATTTTTTACTGTTATCTAAAAAAGTAGCTCAAAAAATGTGTCATAGTTAACAAGAAGGGAAGTTTCTAAACATACAACTCTGTCAGAATCTGCAAATCCAGTGTTAGGTGTAAAAAGGGCCTTAGAGTATTCCATATAATAGGAAGAAAAGGGGATACATAGGGGAACCTGTAGTATTACCATCAACAACTACCCCCAAACAGTGCCATATGAAGCAGAAAGGAGAGAATGTGTGTTCTCAAGCCTAGGGTGAAATCAAGGCTATAGAAGGTAGGACAGGGTGCTGTACTCCAATTAAGGCTGGAGAAAGCTCAAAAGAGCCCTAGGCAGTCAGTGAGTAATGTCTATGAAGTCAGCATGGTACAGTGACAGGGTAGGACAGTAGGACATTGGTGTCCAACAGGAGTAACTTGGATCCTTCCCCTCTCTCTTTACTAGACAGGGAAATTTGAGTAATTTACTTACCTTTTAAGCACTTACTTCTTTTAAAAATGCAAATATTACTCACCTCAGGTGGCTATACGTATTTAAAGAGATAAAGTGTGTAAAGTACCAGGACCGAGGTAGATGCCCAGCTTACATTGCTCCTGCTTACCTCCTTCCCCATCCCTCTGCTCCTAGCGTTTTCTAGAACTAGGCTTCCAAGAGACAGCCATCTGGAGATAATGATTGCCCTCTTCCTCTTCCCTCCACTAACAGTCTTTCTACAGTGTCATTCCTCTCTTCAGAGATCAGTCCAGTAGACTTACTGTGAATTTCTAAACCCCCCTCAGGCCTAGAAACATCCCTAAACCTGATTAGTGGAAATAGGAATTTCTGGATGAAGAAAGCATCTCACTACATAATTAGAGATGATATGCTTAAATGTTAAAAAGCTGTTTGGCATGATTTTGTATGAATATATTTTATGAAATCAGCCAACCAAAAATAGATTGTGTCAGATCCTTCCTTGTTTTGGTAGAAAGCAAGGGGCATGGGCAAGCAGAGCCCCTGATGCTGGAAAGGAGCCTCCAGGGAGGGGAAGAATTAGCCGGCTGGAGGGCTAGGCTGGGACCTGAAGAGAACCCTGAAGGTTTCATAGCTGTGTCTAAGATTGACCTTTTATTAACTTTTAAGTAGCCTAAATCCATAGAAACTGCATTCTGAGAGGTTGCAGCTGGAAATCAGAAAACTGCTTCACATGAGTGCTCTACTTTGTAATGAAAATAAACACTGTTAATGTAGGCAATTGTACATTGAAGGATCACTATATTTATATTTGTAATTATATAAGTAGCACACAAATATATTTTGGTTATAAATATTAAACTATACAGATAAAGCAAAAGTCTGTCATTCCCCCTTAATCCTAAAAATGCTTAGCTCTCTCTTGAGCATAAGAGTTCTCAAAATTTTTGTCTCAGGACTCCAGTACACACTGAAAAATTATTGAGAAACTTTTAAAAGGTTTTTGTTTAGTGAGTTAACATCTGTCAATATTAACTATTAGACATTAAACTGAATTTGTTTTAGTATTCATTTAAAGTTAACAATAATTTACCTATTACTTGTTAACATGACGTTTTTTAATGAAAAAGAACTATATTTTCTTTTCTTTTCTTTTCTTTTTTTTTTGAGACAGAGTCTTGTTCTGCCACCCAGGCTGCAGTGCAGGAGCATGATCTCCACTCACTGCAACCTCCACTTCCCAGGTTCAAGCAATTCCCCTGCCTCAGCCTCCTGAGTAGCTGAGATTACAGGCATGCACCACCATGCCCTGTTAATTTTTTTTTTTTTTTTAGAGACAGGGTCTTGCTATGTTGCCCAGGCTGGAGTGCAGTGGCTATTCACTGGCGTGATCCCACTACTGATCAGCATGGGAGTTTTGACCTGCTCCGTTTCTGACCTGGGCTGGTTCACCCCTCCTTAGGCAACCTGGTGGTCCTCCTTAGGTAACCTGGTGGTCCCCGGAGGTCATCATATTGATGCTGAATTTAGTGTGGATACCAATCGGCATAGCACACTATAGCCCAGAGCTCCTAGGCTTAAGTGATTCTCTCACCTCGGCCTCCCGAGTAGCTGGGACTACAGGCACGCGCCACTGGGCCCCGCAATTTTTGTATTTTTAGTAGAGATGGAGTTTTACCATGTTGGCCAGTCTGGTTTCAAACTCCTGACCTCCAGTGATCCACCCACCTCAGCCTCCCAAAGTGCTGGGACTACAGGCGTGAGCTACTGTACCTGGCCATATTTTCTAAAACAAAAATAATCGAAAGGGAAGAATGTCATTGCGTCACATTTTTACCAGTTAATTTGTACCTTAGTAAGAGAGCTAGATTTTCATGTCTGCTTCTGCATTCAAGTCTCTTGCTATATGACGTGTCATGTCATGTCACTTCTAAAACAGCCCATTGTAGAATAAGAGGTAGAAAGCCAAATAATATCTTAGTATTATTATGAAAATAATTTTGACTTAGTGGACCCCCAAAAACATCCTAGGGACCCCAGGACTCTCCAAACCACACCTGGAGAACTGCTGCCCTAGAGGTTGCTACTATTATCAGTTTAGTGTGTAACCTTCCAGATTTTCTTTTTTAACAAGAACGACTTTACTTTATATAGACATTCATATGTATTCATACATTTCTGAAATTGTTTTATTTTTAACAGTATATTTTAGAGAGTTTTCTAAGTTGGTATGGATATATTTGTACTCCTTCTTAATTTCCGCATATTATTTACTAGTATGAATGTACCACAGTTTTACTTAACTATTTCCCTATGAGTAACCTTTAGGTTTGTTCTGATTTTTTTGCCAGTAGGAGCAATGCTGTAGTGAACATCCTTCTATACAAATTCATTTATTTATTCAGTCTTGCAATAAACATTTACTGAGTACCTTCTATGTAACAGGCACTATCCTGGGTACTTCAACTATAGCAGAGAACAGAACAGAAATCCCTGTCTGATGTTTTTGGGCTTATTGCAGGACTGTTAGTAAACTTTAGAGGTTTCAATAGCACTGGGATGTTGTACACAAAATTTGTGTTGTTGTTTGTAAATAGAGGAAAGTGCCCATGGTTTTTACCAGATCTTGAGAGATCTGATATAACTAAAAATAGATTAGGAACCAGTGATTTAAAGTATTTTTTGTTTGTTTGTTTGAGACAGAATCTTGCTCTGTCACCGAAGATGGAGTACAGTGGCACGATCTCGGCTCACTGCAACCTCTGCCTCCCTGCAACCTCCACCTCCCGGGTTCAAGCAATTATCCTGCCTCAGCCTCCCAACTAGCTGGGATTACAGGCATGTGCCACCACACCCAGCTATCTTTTTACATTTTTAGTAGAGACAGGATTTTACCATGTTGGTAAAATTGGTCTCAAAACTCCTGACCTCAGGTGATCCGCCCACCTTGGCCTCCCAAAGTGCTGGGATTACAGGTGTGTGCCACTGCACCCAGCCTATTGAAAGTCTTTATCAATAATATTTATTTTACTTATAACACAGGAAAAATATCCTTTATAGTCTACCCTCGTGAGAATTGTCTCCTATATTGCTGTGTCACCAACTTATTACTGAGATGAAAAAAGAATCTCTGGGAATGTAAAGCCTCTAAAAAGTATAGAAGCAGTGTAGGGCTGGGATGGTGTGGAGAGGTGTGGTGCATATTTTCATGAGGTGATGTTAGAAAATTTATACGAGGTCATACAGGTTAGTCAGCAATATTAGGGGACTCAAAAGTTATTGCCCATTAGGAAAAACATGGGATTTCTGCTGAGCACCAGAAGAAAGTTAAATTATGTGAACTACACATGGTTTTCTAAGGTTATAAAGAATGAATTTTAGAAAGATTTCTACTAAAAATGTTTAACCTCATGTTAAAACGTTTAAAAGCGTACATTTCTATTATTTGGAAAATCTAATTCAATATACTATTCATATTCTGTAAAAGTGAGCCTAATGACTCAAACTTTAATATAATACAAAGATATTAGTATAGAATCTTCTTTAGTTTATAAAATTAGAGAGTCGCTGATTTAATAAAGTTATAAGATTGTGTTCTTGAATCATTAAATTTATCCTTTGAGGCATGTATTTCTTTCCGAAGTACTGTATTAATATTGTGTGCTGGCTAGGCAGAGTTCACTCCTGTAATCCCAGCACTTTGGGAGGCCTAGGTGGGAGAATCACTTCAGCCTAAGGATTCAAGACCACCCTGGGCAACATAGGGAGACCCCATCGCTACAGAAAAAATTTTAAAATTAGCTGGGTATACCTATAGTCCTAGCTACTCAGAAGACTGAGGTGGGAGGATTGAGCCTGTGAGACTGAGGCTGTAGTGAGCCATGATCTCACCACTACACTTCAGCCTGGGTGACAGCAAGATCCTGTCTCAAAAAAAAAAAAATGTTCTAATTCATTTTCTAAAAATTTCCATCCAAAAAAGCTTTCATATAATCAGCTATACAGGTTTATGTTGCATACATTAGATATATTACTTTTATGCTACAATGGATTTTTAATTTTAAAGTGAAATTGAGTCAAATTAATGTCATATAGTTGTATTTACATCTTAATGTTGTATTTTCATATTAATGAATTAATTTCAGAGAATCAGCATTCGGAGTAAAGCTATTTTCCTTTTAGAATTAAACTACCAGACTAGTACTTTAAGAGAATGGTACAAATACGGTCCTTCTTAATTTGAATAAGGCCTTCAACACATCTATTGTGGCATTCTTTTGATTGAGGTAGAGATAGTGCTTTTAGTTGGTTTTAATGAAGAACTGTTTTCAAAGAATATTGCTTAATGGCTAGATAACAGCCTGGAAGGAATTTTGTTTTTAATCTTAAGATATTTTTTTTTAAAAATAGCTGTTAATATAGAAAAGTATATAGATGAAATGTTCATGGTCTCACCTCCCAGAGGTCTCATTAAAACTCATATACAACTGATACATGTATATATATATATATATATATATATATTTTTTTTTTTTTTTTTTTTTTTAGAAAGAAAGGATACATGCAGAGAAAGAATGATACAGTGAGGTGTAAAGTGAAACGAAGTTTCCTCCTTCTGACTTCTTTTTCTTTCTTTTTTTTTTTTTTTTTTTTTTTTTTTGAGAGAGGATCTCACTCTGTTGCCCAGGCTACAGTCCAATGGTGAGATCTCTGCTTACTGCAACATCCACCTCCCAAGTTCAAGTGATTCTCATGCCTCAGCCTCCCAAGTAGCTGGAACTAGAGGCATGCGCCATCACACCCAGCTAATTTTTATATTTTTAGTAAAGACAGGGTTTTGCCATGTTGGCCAAGCTTGTCTCAAAACTCTTGACCTGAGGTGATCCAGCCAACTTGGCTTCTCAAAGTGCTGGGATTACAGACATGAGCCATCATGCCTGGTGCTTCTCCTGACTTCTAGTACCCTGGTCCCTTTCCCCAAAGATCTGTTAGCTGTGTTTTAGATATCCTTTCAGAACAATTTTTTTCATAGACCCATAGAATACAGTTACATCATTTAAACCCACTTACACAATATTACATGTACTCTTCTCTCTTTTTTTTTTTAGTCAGTAACATATCTTGGAGATTTTTTCCTACAGACATATATCTACCTTATTGTTTAAGAACTGTACAGTATCTTATAGAGTACATATTTTTAAATTTGTTTAACCAGTCCTCTATTAATGATATTTAGATTTATTTTAGTTAGTTTCCTGCCTGGCATCATGGCTCATGCTTGGAATTCCAGCACTTTGGGAGGCCAAGGTGGGCAGACCACTTGAGGTCAGCAGTTCAAGATCAGCTTGGCCAATATGGTGAAACCCCATCTCTACTCAAAATACAAAAATTAGCTGGATGTGATGGTATGTGCTTGTAATCTCAGCTACTGGGGAGGCTCAGGCACAAGAAGTGCTTGAACCCAGGAGGCGGAGGCTGCAATGAGCCGAGATCACCTCACTGCATTCCAGCCTGGGCAACAGAGCAAGACTGTCTCAAAAAAAAAAAAAAAAAAAATTATTTTAGGCTAGTTTCCAGTCAGAACAAACTCCTACTTTCAGTGCCTAACACAATAAAATTTTATCACTTCACAGCTGCATGCTGGTGGGAGAGCCCATCTCCGTCTTGTAGCTGTGCCATCTGGTCTTGTGTTCTGTAAGGTCACCAGAGCAAAAGAGATGGCCTAGAAAAGGCTCTAGCTCTTAACCGTCTTGCCTCTCCTTTCTTTGGCCAAAAGAAATACGTGTTTGACAGTTTACAATAGCAAAGACCTGGAACCAACCCAAATGCCCATTGATGATAGACTGGACGGGGAAAATGTGGCATATATACACCACAGAATATTATGCAGCCATCAAAAATGATGAGTTCATGTCCTTTGTAGGGACATGGGTGAACCTGGAAACCATCATTCTCAGCAAACTGACACAAGAGCAGAAAATCAAACACCGCATGTTCTCACTCATAGGCAGATGTTGAACAATGAGAACACATGGACACAGGGAGGGGAGCATCACACACTGGGGTTTGTTGGGGGGAAATAGGGGAGGGACAGTGGGGGGTGGGGAGTTGGGTAGAGATAGCATGGGGAGAAATGCCAGATATAGGTGAAGGGGAGGAAGGCAGCAAATCACACTGCCACGTGTGTACCTATGCAACAATCTTGCATGTTCTTCACATGTACCCCAAAACCTAAAATGCAATAAAAACAAATATGTGTTTGAGACTGGGAAGTGTCAAGGAGCACCTGGGTATTTGGAGAGCATATGTGGTCTCTGCCACTGTACCACCAGTGAAGTCCTGTGTCAGGATTCAGAAAGAAGAGGAAGTCATTGCCCAATTTTTCATCTGAGAAACAAACTCCACATGTACCAGCAATGTGCTCTTTTCCCAAACAAGCCTATTAACTGCATTACTAGATGAAATATTTTGATTCTCGGTGCCCCATTTTAGGAAAGATTGATATTGACACTGTCCAGGGACATGTAGTCAGAACATGTAAGGATCTATAGATTTTGGTGTCCTGAAGGTTTTCAAAGACTTGGAGAAGAGGGCAATGGTTTGTAGGGTACAGAATACCCTTAATCTCTTATTCTGTGTGGTTCCCAAGGAGAGAACTAGAACCAATGATAGAGTTTTAGGACGATTTCTCTCACACTTGAGGATATTTAATCAGCAGTTAGAGACTTTCATAAATCAAGCATAAGCCAGATGACATCTATGAAGAACATCATAAAGATTTTTTGCGTAGCCTGGGAGATTGGTCTGGGTAATCTCTGCAGCCCCTTTTTAAATCTAGAATTTTGTATGACAAACGTCAAATGAATATTTCTTTATCTTTTTAAATAGGACACTGATGAAATTCAAGTTAACTATCCTGGAATGTTTGAATTGATGGAAGATTTACAAGGTAAGGCACTTTAAGGAATTTTTAGACTCCATTGGGAAAGGTAGGCAAAAAAAAAATAACAATTTTTCAACTCCATTTGAGAGAGAAATTTTGAGAGCCAGGTCTTTGGCAGGCACTGGGCTAAGCACTAGGGATCCATTGTTGAGGAGAAAGCAGACTGTCTTCATGGAGCTTCTGATATAAAATGGAAGAGGCAGGCACCAGGCAGCTGTCACAAAGCTAAGTGTTAAATTAGAACTGTGGTCAGTGCCATGAAGTAGAGGCGCATATAGTGAGTGCTACAGCTGCTTGTAAAAGGATGCTGAGAGTTTTTTTGAAGGGTGCACTTAGGATGATAGAACACATTGGTGACTTCCTTCAGCCACAGTTGGCAGCTGACATCCAGGCTCAAGAAAGAAGGTAGTTGCTTGGTTTAAGAGTAGGGTTCGTCAGGGGAAAATCCCAGTCTGGGAGACTCAAAGAAGTCTTATCTGAGGGAGAGGCAATTGAGCTATGCTCTAAAAAAAAATGGAGATGTATTAGCTAGGTAGACATAGAGTAGGCTAGTGAGTCCAAGGCAAGGAGAACAGCAAATGCAAAGGCCCTCCTGTGAGAATGAAAATAGCAAGAACGGAAAGAAGGGCATCTTGGCTGGGGTACACTGAGTGAGAAGGAGAAAGTTAAGCGAAGACCTTGGTGGGTCAGTGTGACTCAGAGATCAAATACAGGAGCCCTTTATGGGCCTTGTTACAATTGTTTGCCCTTATCTTAAAATGCCCCTTGAGGTATCTTAGAGAGGTAACAATATCAGACTTGTAGTTTGAGACAACTATATTGACAGATAAACGAGTCGTGAGATTTATTTCGGTAAAGCTTACTGTGAGACGATGCTGGTTTGTTCGAAAGTGGTGGCAATGGAGATAAAGAGAAGCAGATGCATCCCAGACACGTTTGGGAGGGAAATTTAACAGTTCCTCTGGTGGATTGGATGTGGGCAGATGAAGGAGAAAGACATTTGAAGTGTAATTGCTGAATTTCTGGCTCACAAAAAGAGATAATGTCCTTCATTGATAGAGGAAACAATAGAATAATACCAAGTGTAGGCAGGTATAGCCCTTGAGTTCACATTTGGATACACCAGGTTTGAAGTGCTTTTGAAATACCTGAGGTGATGTCAAGTAGGCAGTTGAGTATGTGGGTAGGTAGCTCAGAGGAAGTGACTGGCTTGGTTAAAAAGTTGGGTGACATTTGTGAACAGGTGGCATTCAGAGCATTTGCCTACAATAAAAACATGCAGTGAGCAGAGAAAGTGGCTTGCTATTGATCCTTTAGCAGACGATGGCTGAGCGTACGGGGAGACTGAAAAGGAGTAGCCAGCAAGGTGTTTAAGAGAAAACTGAAAAGTGTAGATTTGCCCGAACCAAAGGAAAGAAAGAGTGTTTCAAAACAAAGCAAGCACTTAGCAGCAGTAAAAGCAAACTATGAACTGAAAAGGAAGTCCACAAGATTTAGGAGCAAGAAGGTTATTGGTGACCCTGATGAGAGCTCTTTCGTTGGAGTGAGGAGAGTAGAAGGGAGTAGGTTGAGGAGTAAGTGGAAGGTGAGGAACAGCAAATATATGCTGTTCTTTCAAGAAGTCTGGTGGTGAAGAAGAGGTGAAGGGTGGAAAGGTGACAGGTGTCAGAAGAGAGGAGAGGAATAGGAGTTGGAATGAGGTTGTTTTTTTTTCTCTAAGACTTGAATTTATTTAACTGCTGACTGGAAGAATCCAAGTGCTTTCCTAGAAGAGGTGACTCTAGAAGAGAGAGAGAGAAAAAAAAATGATGATGATGGAGAAGGTGGGAAGGGTATGATACAAAGGCCAGTGGAGGAGTTGACCTTGCTAAGGGGAGAGGCAGAGTTATAGCAGGAAAGGAGAAGAGGTAGTGCCAGTGGATGTAGGCGTTTATGTTTGACAGCAAGAAGTTCCCATCCAGTGGGTCTATTTTTTTGTCAAACAGGAAGTAATATATATGCTAAGAATTAAAAAGTCAGAGGTTTGAGAAGTGAATGGATCCATTTGAAATAGTCATTACAGGAAATGAGAAGGTGAACTGACCATCAGTATTAGTGGGCAGCTCAGGACCAGGCACAGAAATCAGATAGTTGAATTAGTTTGGGTTGGGGGTTTGCTGGTTAAAAATGACAAAAAGACAAAGGCAAAAGACAATTCTAGGAGTGTAATTGAAATAACAGGTTAAAGAATCTAAGCTGGAAGAAAAGGGAAGTGGGAACAAAAAAGAGTGAGCTGATAAATTGGGAGGAAGAAGAGGAGCTGTGCACAGGTGATTCCAAGGCGGTCAGGGCATGGTCATGGGACACACTGGAGGGGCAGGAGGATATGGTCAGAAAATGAGATGCTTGATGATTTTGGAAGTAAAGCTATTGTAAGTGATAACTAGGCCTGGGACATGTCTCAGATGTCAAGGCAGAGATAGAGTGATGGATGATTGATTAGAGATGAGGTTTTAAAGTCTAGACTTGATGATTATTAACATGAAGTCACCCAGGATGGTGGCAGTACTGGGAGTATAGAGGAAAACTGAGCCAAGTGCCAAACCTTTCAATGAATGAGGTGAGTGACTAGCCTAATGTCAGACAGCAAGCAGGAATTAGAAGATTACAGCCTTATAATGTGAGGCATCAGCAGGGTGAAGGTGTTTAACAGGGTGGGGAAGTAATGGTCTGGAACAGACTTCAGGGAATAAGAAGGACACAGACCCAACTCTGAAAGAGGTAAAATATGCAAAAATAAACATCTGTTACTTGAAAGGGATGCTAGAGAAGCAATTTCCTCAAAAGAGAGCTTCAACTTAGGCCGGGCGTGGTGGCTGAGGCCTGAAATCCCAGCAGGCAGAGGCAGGCAGATCACAAGGTCAGGAATTCGAGACCAGCCTGGCCAACATGGTGAAACCCCCGTCTCTACTAAAAATACAAAAATTAGCTGGGTGTGGTGGCAGGCACCTGTAATCCCAGCTACTTGGGAGGCTGAGGCAGGAGAATTGCTTGAACCTGGGAGGTTCAAGTTTTTTTGACTTCATGTCAAAAAAAAAAGAGAGAGAGGAAGAGCTTCAACTTGCCTCCTTTGTGGGAATTTGTGAGGTGGTTCTTTTATATATATATAGTAATGTCAAAAATAGTTTTGATGAATGGGGGAAGCTAAAGGGGTTAAAGGTATGTTCTGTGAATCCAGAACTACATTTACCTAGAGTAGCCTTCATCTGGATCCTGAAAAATTGTAAGATGATTTAAAGAAAGAGGACTACACAAATAAGTATCTAGTCTCTACTTACAGATTTATAGTCTTTTGCGAGCATTGTTATACTTGCTTCCTTGTGTTACAAGTGAAAAAAATTAAGGCCAAAGAGAATAGTTGCCTGTTACGTGGCAGAATTAGATGCCAAACTCATGCTTCTTGACTCTGCCCTGGCACTGTCTGAACTGACTGTGTTCCTTCTTTTAGTTGCCCATCTGTAACAAGGTTCATTTTACCTATTGTGCAGCCTTCTGAGTATGGAGCTTCTGTCGACTCTGCAAACAGAAAGATGTTTAGCTGAAATCTTAGCACTGTCATCACTTTTTATTCATTAATAGAGGGATTGGTAGCCTATGGCATGCATGACCAAGATGACAGAGGATCAATAAGAGGATCACACACACGCCTTCCCCAGCACTACCCCAAGGACTTACCTCACCCTGATGTAATCAAGGAGTCCCTTTATCCAAAGGCTTGAGAGATGATGGTGGGCTAATGATTTATCACTCAGGCTCTAATGATAAATTTATTTTTCAAATACACCATTTCTTTTTGTGCAACCATAGAATCTGTGTTCATGATTCATTTCATGAAAAAGAAAAATACTAGAAATTAGACCTCTCCATTGGAAAAAATTACTTCCCACTGATTAAAAAATATGTACAGTGCTTACTCTGTGCTCAGTATAATTCTCTGAGGTTTTTCTAATACCCTAATTTTACAGGTGAGCAAATCAAGACCTTGAGAAGTTAAATATCTTGTCCATGGTCACACTGAATCTGTACTTAACAATTTGAATTCAGAGTCCTATACTGCGTATTTGATATGTATGTGGTTCTTTAAATTCAGGTTAACACATATGTTCAGTGAAAGATATTAATCTTAAAGGTACAGCTGCTTGTATTTTAATCACCATCCTGACCAAAATATTGAATATTTTCAGTCCTCCAGAAGGTAGCCTTGTGCTCCTTTCAAATTGATAACCCCCTCTTCTCCTGAAGGTTTCGTTGTTGTTGTTGTTTTGTTTTGTGTTTTCAGATGGAGTCTCACTCTGTCACCCAGGCTGGAGTGCAATGGTGTGATCTCGGCTCACTGCAACCTCCACCTTCTGGATTCAAGTGATTCTCCTCCTTCAGCCTCCCAAGTAGCTATGATTACAGGCATGCACCACCATGCTTGGCTAATTTTTGTATTTTTAGTAGAGACAGGGTTTCACCACGTTGGCCAGGCTGGTCTCGAACTCCTGACCTCAATCAGCCCATCTTGGCCTCCCAAAGTGCTGGGATTACAGGTGTGAGTCTCCTAAAGGTTTTAAATAGACCATATATTTCCAGTAACTATGGCCTAATACTTAACTTTCAGATGCATTGCTAGTACTTCTCTTTTTCACTCTAATGTTTGTTACAGAAATCAGATGTTTTAGTTTTTGATGTATCTTATCCTTAGGAATATTAAGAGGAGTTATTTAAACTTATAAAATGATACTTAACAAAATAGATATAATCATTAACAGGTTGGTTTTATACACATTCACTTACTTATTGAGCACCTACCCATGTGCCAACCACTGAGCCAATGGTGGAAATACATAGTTCTTGATCTCAGGGAGCTTATATTGTAGTAGGGAGAAAGAAACACACAAAGATAGAGACAGACAGACTCATGCATTCAACTGTAAAATGAAGTCATTTATTATAAAGCACAAGGAGAAACTGAGGAGGAAAAGGCCCTAAATCTGCTTAGGGGTCAGGAATCTTTTGCAAAAGAGGCAGCACCTAAGCAAAAATGAATTTGCCAGGAGAGTGAAAGGGTGGGTAGAGGTTTAGGGGAGCTAACATTGTATTCCACATGGCAGTAGAACAGGATATACACATGTTTCACTCTCCTGATTAAGAAACTGTAATCAAGTATTCCTTGAGTATGTAGAATGGGGAGATGATGGGAAATGATAAAGGATCAGAGGCTTCTGAATTTTTTTCAGATTAGCATAGGAGATAGATTTGTGTGTGTTAGAAAGCTTACCTTTCAGCATTGTTTATAAGGCATAGTTTATGAGGAAGATAAGACTAGAACAAACATGGTTAATGTGGTTTTTTTTTTTTTTTTTTTTTTTTTTTTTTAATGTATGAGGAAACCAGATGATATAGTTAGTGAGTAGCAGAGCCAGGATTTAAACCTGGTCAAGCAGCCTGATTTGTATGCTGAGATCTTACCCGTTCTACCATGGAAAAAGTTAGAGGCAGATGAGATGGAATGAATAGTCAGGGGATGATGAAGGCAGGGAGACCCTGGGAGACTTTCAGGTGTGCTGTTCTGCCAACTAGAAGATCGTATTACTTCCAAATTTGTTTCTGGTATTTTACATTTGCGGTATATTTTTTTTCTTAATGGTTGTGGTGTGTCTCATTTAAGCTGCTATTATTAATTTACAGAAAAAAGTCCAGAATCTTGACCTAATTTTACAAAACAAGCTGCATATCAGCTGATGAATGCGTGAGAAATTTTCAAGGCTTTCACAGTGGTCTTAAGGTAAGTTCAGTTACTTTTTTAAAACAATACTCAGTATTGTTTTTAGTAGACTGTAATAAATTAGGTTTATTTTAAATAAGCAGTTGAACTTCACCTTAAAAACACTGTGAGAGTCTTAAACAGTTAACCTGCTAGCCAGATTTTTCTGTCATCTCAAAGCCCAGGGTGAGTCAGAAGTCCCAAAGTTTCAGTTTTTCCCAGGTGGTCTTTAGTAGAGGTCCCCCATGATGCATTAGGACTATTATTCTTTTGAAGATGGCGGAACTGGAATTTGATAGAGGTTGAATGACTTTGCCCCAAGTTATGTAAGTTAAAACTAGGAGTATGATCCCAAAGTCCAGACTCTTTCCACCACCTCACGCTGCTTCCGCAAGGAGAAGGGAGGTTCGGTGTGGCAGTGTGAGTGGCTTGTGAGGGAAGGTTGGAGCCCTGCACAGTTCCCCCCTGTGCTCTGCAGTAGTGCTCTTGAATTTCTGTGTGGCTGATGTAGGTCAGAGCTTCAGAGAGTGTTATGCCTACGAATCTTAATTAGTGTATCCTAATACTGATTGTTTAGAAGGCATTTTAGAATTTCTAGTACATCACATATTTATGTCTAAAAAAGCAAATCTCTTTTCTACTGGTGTTGTCCATAACTAATGCATAATTAAGCCATAGCAGCAAGAAGTTGAGCGGAAATGAAAGCACCATACCTGAGCAACAGACCCTTCCAGTGCAAGTCCCACTTTACCTCTGATCACTTGATATGGTTAAAATGTGACCACTAGAAGCCTTTATGGAGCATCTAGCCTGGTCACTTTGAAGACCACAGATGATTGGCCCAAGGCCATTCAGCTGCTTCATGACAGCAAGAGTATGATCCTCCTTTTTCTTGATGATGATTAACCTGCTAGTTTGTGTCTGTCGTTCTTCATGAATTGGGGCTGTTACACTTACAGGATTTAGTAGCAGAGATTCATTATTTTAGGGAATAGTAGAAATCCTTTGGGATTGAAGAGAAGAAAAAAGTTTAGGTGCAGCTAATTTGTTGATTGTTTTTAATAAGACCACTGAAAATTTGGTAGATTATTACTTTTTTTTTTTTTTTTTTTTTGAGACAGGGTGTCGCTCTTGTTACCCAGGCTGGAGTGCAATGGCACGATCTCGGCTCACTGCAACCTCCGCCTCCTGGGTTCAGGCAATTCTCCTGCCTCAGCCTCCCGAGTAGCTGGGACTACAGGCACATGCCACCATGCCCAGCTAATTTTTTGTATTTTTAGTAGAGACGGGGTTTCACCATGTTGACCAGGATGGTCTCGATCTCTCGACCTCGTGATCCACCCGCCTCAGCCTCCCAAAGTGCTGGGATTACAGGCTTGAGCCACCGCGCCCGGCCAGATTATTACTTTTAAACTCTGAAAGAATACTGATACTGGTTAATTTATTCATTTCTTGATTTGTGAAAGTAGAAGAAAAAACCAAGAAAATAACATTTGATCATGTATTATAGTTTAATATAGAGAATACATATAAAGGATTTTTACTTCTGAAATTCTTTTAATTTTGCAGACTGGCCTAAAATGTGCTCAAAGTAATTTTAAGTATTTGTATAAAGAGAAGACAAATATACAACATTAATCGTAAATGAAAAATAATGCTTATCCTAGCTTTTCACCATCAACTTGAAGGAAAGAAGTCTAAAATTTTCTAAACATTAAGAAAAGTACCTCTAAAAGAATGCACATAATTCGTTCCTAATGTGGGATTAGTAAAATACTGTAAAATCTGAGAACACATAGTAGCTTTGGTACTATCTAATGAGTCTCAAAGCCATCTTCCAAGTTTCACAATCATACTTGTTATGGCTTAGGAGTGAGGTATTGTGACACTGGCCTGCCCTTCTCCAAAGAGCAGCTAAAAGGAGCATGAGTTGTGACATCCTTGGTAAAGTTCTTCAACTCACCTGGGGTGGCAATCACCTGGCTTTTGCCCAGCTGGCTTACTTTAGACCATTGTTGGCAAGTAAAGCATTGTGGGGCTGCCTCCTGAAATTTCACTTGCTTGTCTTAATATTTAAGAAGTTTCAAGTAGTTTTTAAAGTCAATAAGAAGCCTGCTATTATCTGAAAGTGAAATGAGATGTAGGCTATTTTACATGACTCTTAGAGAAGGAGAACAGGTATACTGTTGGATGAGATGGGAATAAGTCTGTAATATTGAGCTGTTCTGGGTATTTGCTGTATTATGTCAAACTACTTGTAGTGTGTATTTTTAGGTATGGGTGAGAGTAACTGTTCTTGGAATAGAAAAGCCCTGCTGCATCGAAACACAATGCTGGCAGCTGCAGCGGTATACAGAGGTAAGGACAACCACTCTTTCCACCCCCCTCACCAAAGCACTGTGCTGTATCATGTTGATTCCCTTTGCATTGCCAGTGCATTTTCCATTCCGATTAAGGCTCCCTCAGACTTCATGGCCTTGCTGTCAAAATACAGATCCTGAAGCTCCTTCACATTGCCAATGCATTTTCCATTCCCATTAAGGCTCCTTCAGACTTCATGGCCTTGCTGTCAATATACAGATCCTGAAGCTCCTTCACATTGCCAATGCATTTTCCATTCCCATTAAGGCTCCCTCAGACTTCATGGCCTTGCTGTCAAAATACAGATCCTGAAGCTCCTTCACATTGCCAATGCATTTTCCATTCCCATTAAGGCTCCTTCAGACTTCATGGCCTTGCTGTCAAAATACAGATCCTGAAGCTCCTTCACATTGCCAATGCATTTTCCATTCCCATTAAGGCTCCCTCAGACTTCATGGCCTTGCTGTCAAAACATAGATCCTGAAGCTCTTTTTCCAGGCAGGCTTTTCTATCTCCTTACCCTCTGTATTAAGAATTTTTCATGGAAGGCCTTCTCACAATCTTACAAGTATCCTGCTACCCATTTCTTTTTGAAGAACATGACTTGTTGATCAGAAATTTTTTCCTTCTTGCATTTTTTCAGACTTTAACCATTATTTGTCTTTTTAGAAATGTATAGAAATGAGGATGGTTCAGTACCTGCCACATATCAGATCTATTACATGATAGGATGGAAATACCATGAGTCACAGGTAATGTTATCGAGATGGATCATTTTTCTTAGTGGGTTCATGTTCAGATTTTTGTTTACTAACTTGGGGGAGGGGGTAAATACTAACTTGTAAGACAGCATTAAGGGCTTTAATTGTGGCTGTGTATTATCTCTATATTTCTAATATCTTTAATCTTTATTATTTTCAGGCAAGACCAGCTAAAAGAGGTTCCGCAACTGTGTCATTTGGTGAGCTAGGAAAAATAAACATACCAGAGGGGGAGAAATCACAATAAATGTTTACTCAATGTTAATGTCGTCCAGAATTTTCTTCAGAAATGGATAGCTTTCACATTTAAAATTACTATATTTTGAAGCAAGAAGCACTCTTAAGCTATTTACTAATAGACTTTCCATATAATTAGGAAAACCTAATAACACATCTATAGTAAACATTTCAGTTTCATATTGTCTCTATTTTCATAAGGATACTGCTGCCTAGGACTTGAGTGTCTTTGCAGATTCAGCCTAAAAGCAAAGAAAATATTTCCCTAAAATATTTGCAAATAATGTTCATATGTGTAAATACCTGACTTGATGGGAAACTTTACTCATGCTGACATTTTGTACCTTTTTCTCCTTCTGGTGTTTTTTCATTACTTCTGTGAGAGGACCACAGCCGTGGAGATGAGAGGAGAAAAAAGTTGGTAGGTTCTTTAGAGTTCTGGCTCATTTAGAATGAAAACACAGATTTTTTTTTATTACTATTGTAAAGTACATAAGGGAAAATTTTGTTATACTGTTTTCTTTGCCTTGAAGAGAAACAGAAGAACATGCACCTTCTCCAGAGTTATGTGGTTTTAGAATTTAGAAGAGCATGTATCTTTATTAAATCCTTCCTCAACTCTTTTTTTAAAGCATCTGAATTTAACCTTATTTCTTTTTTACCTACCTGGTCTGTGTGAGACCACCATGGTTTTACACCTCACCCTACCTTGGGTAAGAAGAAAACATTTTAAAGAATTACAGAAGCAAAATCACATGTAAAAGTCTCTGCACAGTCATCAATTTATTGTTAGGCTTTCCTTTGTAAGTTCAGGACTTACAATCCTAATCCAAGTTCACCATCCCATTTTTGTTGAGGATTGTTCAAAATCCCTTGGAGATAGTCAAGCTCAGACAGGTTAGGATAGGTGGGAAGAACATAGAGGGTGGTAAGAAGGAAGCAGGAGTGCGCACTAAATGTGTTGTTTCTCATTAGCTGTTTGCTGTCTTTTCCATTTAACCTGGGCACAGCCCCAGCCTCATTCTTCGCCTCAGTGATTTATGATAGCATTTCCTTCTGTCTCCTCTCAGTCCCTCTCTCTTCCACCTTCCTTCCTTCCTTTACTGTATGAACAGCAAGCTCTTCATGGGTCGGGACTGTGTCTTAACCTGTACACAGTACGTGGTGCTTTGCACATAGTAGATATTCAGTTACATTTTGAGTTGAACTGATTATATGAAAAACATGCCCTTTGAAAGACTACATTATAGTTAAAAACCAAGATTTTTGTAGGAACAAAAGAAACTATTCTCTTCAGTTGGAAAAATCATCGATATTTGGAATTGGGATACTCTTGGTAGCTTTTTTGTTCTATGTTAACACAAAGTTTAAGAACTTGTGAAGTAAAATTTGGGGAGGTTTGCTTTTTGTTCTTGTTTGTTTGTTTGTTTGTTTGTTTTAGCTTAATTTTCAGAACTTGAAGAGAGAGAACAACAACAAAAAACTGTGCTAGCCAGCCACAATGGCACATGCCTGTAGTCCCTACTTGGGAGGCTGAGGCAGGAGGATCACTCGAGCCCAGGAGTTCAAGGCTGCAGTGAGCTATCTGTGCCACTGCTCTCCAGCCTGGGCAAAAGAGGAGACCTCATCTTAAGAAAAATCCACCAAAAACCCTGTGTATTAAAGTGCAAACTGATGATGGAGGAATGGGTAAATTTCAGGGGTCTATATTTCCAAAAGGACATGTATTCATATGCAGTAATATTTGTTTTTGAAGAACACATCTGAAAGTGTTAAAAGTGGCTGTTGCTGAGGAAGGGGACTGAGGAACTCAGCGTGTCTGTGTCATTCTGTTTGAATATCTGTCTGGGGTATAGAAACTAGGAGGGAGACTTATACTTCTCACATTTTAAACTTCCTATAAATTTTGAATTTTCCAAGCAAGGATATTACTTCTGCTTATTTAAAGTCAACAGAGTTATATGTGGATGGTGGGCTGGAACTGAGGATTACTCTACACTGGCTACCTCAAAAACTCCATTTGTTTAAAAAAAAATTAAGGAAAGAAAAATTAACACAGCTAATTGAGGACCTTTATTGTTTAATGTAAGTGACTATAGTGAAAATATTTATTTTAGTGTGTATGACACTAGTAAAACTTTTTAAGTTAATATCTGTTCAAAGTATGCTATCAAGCTTTTATTGTTTGGAGCCCTCAGGAAATTGATTTTCCTGAATAACCACATTTTCCAAATGATTAAGAGCTCATCCTTTTAAGCAATGAAACTTTAAAAAAGTCTCTATCAAAAAATTTTCAAAATATGTTACATTCTTAAATGGTATATGAGATAAAAAACCATAACCATTTCAGGTGGGATTTTTTTGAGACAAGTCTTTCTCTGTCACCAGGCTAGAGTACAGAGGCGCTATCTCAGCTCACTGCAACCTCTGCCTCCCAGGTTCAAACGATTCCCCCCCGCCTCAGCTTCCTGAGTAGCTGGGACTACAGGTGCGCAGCACCATGCCCATCTAATTTTTGTATTTTTAGTAGAGACAGGGTTTCACCATGTTGGCCAGGATGGTCTTGATCTCTTGACCTCTTGATCTGCCCACCTCAGCCTCCCAGAGTGCTGGGACTGCAGGTGTGAGCCACCATGCCTGGCCAATAACCATTTCTTGCTAACTCCACAGTTACTATATAAACTCAAGTTGTACCATATTACTTGTTCCCAGACTGGCCCCAAGAAGGCTGTGGTTTGTTTTGTGTCTCTTACAATACTTCCCTTATTTGCTGTCAGTTGTCAATCTCAACACCTTGACCAAAATGAACTTTCTTGACCTATTTCTTCTCTGGTCTGCTATAAGATTAGAATTCATACTGAAAGATTTCTAGGACTCGTGTAATAAGGTAGGAATGAGGAACTAGGTTCTGGGAGAAAGACTCTCCTTTGGAATAAAATCATGAGCTTTATTGGTTCCTTTAACAGATCTTCATTGAGTTTCATGTGCCAGGCATCCAACTATTCTCTGCTTTTATAGTTATCAGTCTGACAGGGCTCTAGTATGTACACACTGTGACATCTGTTGGCTGCGACTGTTTGGCTTATTTCCTGGTTCTTAGCAATATTCCAGGTTGTTAGCCTGAAGAATTCCAAAGGTGGCAGTTAATATGAAAATTTATATCTACAAAACAGAGTGCTTGCTTTATAGGAAGAATTTCTGTACGATTTATTGAGATTTAAGCTACCTACATACATCAAATATGTGATATGATTGTAAAAAGTTACAGAAGTGTGTTAACTCCTGAAGTACCTGTAAAGGAAGTTTTATATATTTTTTCAAACTCTTTAGTACCATTTTCATCCACTAGGTGGAAACAACTACAGTATGACCTGCATGAAAGAAATGCAGTTTTTCAGTTGGACGCAGTGGCTCACACTTGTGATCTCAACACTTTGAGAAGCTGAGGCAGAAGGACTGCTTGAGCCCAGGAGTTTGAGACCAGCCTGGGCAACGTGGTGGAACCCTGCCTCTACAAATTAAAAAAAAAAAAAAATAGCCGGGCGTGGTGGCACAGGCCTGTGGTCGTAGCTACTCAGAGGGCTGAGGTGGCAGTATTGCCTGAGTCCAGTAGGTCAAGGCTGCTGCAAGCTGATGCACCACTGCACTCCAGCCTAGGCAACAGAGCATGACCCTCGTCTCAAAAAAAAAAAAGTACAGTTTTTATATTGCTTACATATTCCTTAAGTAGGAATGGAATAAAAGTATTTTACCATGGATTGGCTTCTGTCAAGGAAAGAAGTGAATATTAGTAGATGTTTGGAAAAAAGAAAGATACTTGGTGCAGTGAATTATTCAGTTCCTTTGTAAGTTGCCATTAGCCTCTCTTGATTAAGAAATGTTTTGAGCTTTTTTGGGGAGTTGTTGTGGTTAATGATGTGAAATTAATCTTCAGGAAATTTATCATAGGCAGACCTGCCTTTCCAGATATTTGTATATTTTAATTCTCTACCTGAATACATGACAGGTATATTCATATACCTATCATATATGAATATACCTGTCATGTATTCAGGTAGAGAATACATGAATACTTTACCATGCTGGTTTAAAAAATATTAATTTGAAAATACTAGAAGGTGGGGTGAGTACTGGTAAGTTATTGCTAACAAATAAGGAAATGATGCTTTGCCATCTATGGTAGTTTTAAAATCTATCCACAAATTTTTGATATGCTTCTCTTTAAGACAGGACACTTAATTACCCTCTAAGTACAGGCTGAGTTTAATGATTTCCTTCCAACAAATAGATGATGTGTTGCTTCTGAGACTAGGTAATAAAAGGCATTGATTGCATCCTCCTTACTCTGTCTTGGATCATTCACTCTGGAGAAAGCCAGCAGCCATATTGTAAGGCCACTCAAGCAGCTCCATGGAGAGGACCTAGAAGTGAGGAGCAGTAGCCTCCAGCCAAAAGCCACATGAGGGAGCCATCTTGGAAGCAATTCTTCAGGCCCAGTCAAACTTTAGATGACAGCAGTCCCAGCCAACACTCTGACCACAACCTCATGAGAAACCCAGAACCACCTAGCTAAGCCACTCTCAAATGTCTTATCTACAGAAACTGAGATGATAAATGTTTGTGGTTTAAGCAACTGTGTTTTAGAATAATATGTTACATAGCAGTAGATAACTGATACATGATACACTCTCTTCAGGGGATGTATTAGGGTGGGCAGGATAGTTTGAGTTGTTACTTTAAGTGTAAAACATAGCCCTCTTATTTACAATTAGGTAAAGTTAACATAAACTGTATTACTTTTGTTTTCAGAGAACACGTGAAATGCTCTTGCCTGGAGGTTTGATTCTGTGATATCTTGAAATAGAGCTAACTTCCCAAGTTAAGTTTAGTAGGCCTCAAATTTTATTTCCTGGGAATATTAGGATACATTTTTTAGAAGCCTTAATGGGCTGATTTCCAAATGAAACCAGAGAATTTGGGAAGACTGACCGTGAGAATTCAGTGAGCTGCACAATGGCACACAGATTCCTCAGCCAGTCCCCTTCTGCCCTAGCTGTTGAGTTGCGACAGCTCATCAGGATGGACTGTTGACACTGCAACTTGTAACCAGGCTCGCAATTGAACACAAGGCTGTGGAAATAACAATGGCTCTCTAAAGCCACACT